CCCCCCCTCTCTCTCTCTCCCTCTGTGTCTTTCTCTTGTCCCCCTCGCTCACGCCGAGCGATGGTGTGAATATGTATGACACCCGCTCAGGGAAAAGCGTTTCAGCACTGACCTCGAGATCTGCTAAAAATATTTTCTGCCACAAAAAAACGTCTTACTCCAAGTATGTAAATCATGCGAATAACTCTCACAGGTTTTTTTAAAAGTTACTAAATAGAAAAGAGTTTTGCGATAGTGTATCCATCGAGGGGGAAATAAATCACTTGCGAAATAGTTCGTACACCTTCCCCCGAGATAGACGCGGACGCGAAACAGTTTGTGAAATAATCGCGAAAAACCACCAAAATACCGTGAAATACCGCGAAATAGTCCGAAATCCGAAGTAATCCGAAATAACCGTGAAAAGGCAGAAGAAATACCACGAAATAGACCAACGCTTAGCACCCTAGTGATTTACCCTCGGTATCCATTAACTATTGACTTAGAATCTATCTAAAAGCCGGAAAGAAAACAACGACGCCCCAAAACCAGATAAATTCCGTGTATCGCTCTTTGAGAAAGTGCTGGGCCCCAGGCTTCAAGGATCCAGGTTCCATCCAGTAGTTGACTTGAACAGCCTGCGGGGCGGGGGTAGGCAGCCGGGGCGCACGGATGCTCTACAGGGTTGCCCACCCGCCCCCTCGCAGGCGCTCCCTTCCGTCAAGGTGACGCGGGGGATGTCGTCCAGAGCAGCCTGCGGGGGTAGGCAACGCGGCGCGCTCGGACGCTGCGGGGTTGCCTACCCGCTCCCTCGCAGGCGCTCCGCGCTTACCGTACCTACACCGCGTCCCGCCCCTCCAGAGCCCCGTAATACAACTTCCGGTGGCTTTCCCGCCACATGATTCCCTCCCTCAGTCTCCGGCCCGGGCGGGCGGAGTGCGCTTCGACTTCCGCGGTGGGAGGCAAGTGTGGTAGAGGAGGAGGAGGCTGGTGGGGAGGCAGCGCCGCTTACGGTGTGACGGACCTCAACACTGAGCGTAGAACACCGAGGAGGTATACATATACATCAACAAAG